TGGTGCTGTGGGGTTAAAAGTAAGTAATGAACTTGCATTAGGTTTAGAATCAGATTAGTATCTTATACTTTCTATGTATTTTATTCATTCTACTATTAGTCATATATATTGTAGCCTAATATGATAATATCTTATTTGTAGAATTAGTAATAGATAATAGGCCTGCTTTTGGTTTATAATTAGGTTAGTATTTCATTTGTTTTTTGTTTGCTATAAGCTTAGTGATCTAATATAGTGAGTTTATTACTTACAGGGTTAGTAAATGGTAATAGTGATGTTATGAGTTCGGATTCGGAAGTAGATTGTGAAATAAGGGAGGATAATATTGAACTTGCCATAGAATTAGGTTGGTATTTTTATCATTTGGGTTTTGCTTTAAAAATAATCTTATGCAATCAAGGCAAAAACATCATATATCTAATATAATTAATACTTTAGGGTTAGTGAAAAGAAAAAATAATATAGAACCGGTTGTGTGTTTGGCAGAAATTGAGGACAATGTATGATCAGATTTGGAGTTAGGGTTTACATATTTGTTAGGTTTTGAAAAAGGTAAGAATATTATACATTTGCTTTTTTTTTAGTTTTGAATTATGTTGTTAGTAATAGTTTTTTTAATCCAATGTACTTTATTTAAAATTAGATAATATTACCTCTGTTAGTTGTCCTTTACCTGATGAACTATCTAATGGTATACAATTTGATTCTTGGGAAGTTGCTGAACTTTATATAAGGGAATATAGAAAGAAGAAAGGATTTGTGGTCAATAAATATAGAACAGAATCATCATTTGATGGATCAGTAAAAAAAAGAATATTTGCATGCAAATGCTAGCATATATAGATCTGTTAAAACAAATTAAATTAAACAACAACATAATAAAGGTTTAAAAAAATCAAATTGCCAATGGTATATTAATTTATATAATCTTGAAAGTAAGAATGGTGTATACTTGAGTTTTATAGAGCTTAACCATAATCATGACTTAAATATTGATAATATAAAGTTTGCTACTACATTTCGAAAATTTGATCAAGATATAATATCAGAATTGAACGAGCAGTTATTTATAGACATTGTAATATACACACCATAAGGAACTTATTACAACCATTATTTCCTGATCAACTTTTTTTTACCCAAGATCTCTCGAACGCCATTCAAAAAATTAAACACAAATATAAAATTACTGGTTCAGATGCTTCACAATTGTTGAAGTATCTTTTTGAGAAACAAAAAAAAGAATCTATGATGTTTATACAACCTCTTATTAATAAGGACAGTGATAGATTATGTGGTATATTTTAGATAAAGGAGGATCAAATTGTGTTGTGGTCTCATTACTCAGATGTTGTATTGCATGATAACACCTCAAGCCAATAAATATAATTATCCCTTATCCTTATTTATACTTGTTGATAATGATGAAAGGTCACGTTTAGAAGCACAAACTTTTTTGAATGATAAAATGCAAGAGAGTTATGAGTAGGTTTTATAGCAAATGTTAGATACAACAAATATTGAGCCATGAGTCATTCTAACAGACATAGATCCTGCCATGGATGCAGCTTGTCAAATTATATATAAAAATGCTTATTATATATATTGTATTTG